AGTTCAGTTGTTGACTTGTTCATCACTTATGTTGTCATATCTCACTCTCTGAACGTATTGCAATGTTGCCACAGTTGTCATTAATATATTAGCTATTTAAGGATGCCGTAAATTTAACGGGATTCGGGCCACCAAACAGGTTTTTTTAAATCCTACTGTCCCTGATACAAGCTGGAAACCCGGCTCCAAGATTGCATTTTGTCAACCGCAATAAATCCCCGAACACCTAAAATATTATCCCTTTTGCGCATTGTGTTCGGCCGCTATGCATGACTTTAAGCGCTACCACATTTGAAGTAGCGCTGCCGAATACTCTGCTTTTAAAAGCCCCATGCCATGGTCAAGACCTAACGGAGTTTTTGCAGAGTGAAAGTAAAAAGCATGCCAAAATGAAGCATAGCAAAACAGTCAGGACGGTATGCTGTAGCTTACCATGTATTTAACACAAAAACGATTGGTCAGTAGCTGAGTTGTCCGAAGTTAAATCAACTAAAACGAATGTTAATTTGGCGATCACTATCCCTATTCACCAGCGAAGTTATCTTCAGCGACGCAGTGCAGAGCTCAATAACCGAGCTACGTCGATGCTACAGAAACTGGTCCGGGTCGAAGACATGCTCAGATCAAGGCACTGAGTCGTCAGTCCACAACAGGTTCAGCGATGTGAACTCTGTACAGGAACCGATGCAGGATCCAATGCTCCTGACTTCTGAGGCGACTAGTTTTTGAGCAGCGTTTTTTGTCGCCATAACTCCACCTCGCTGCCGCGGTGGAGCGGCTACTGAGAGTGGCTACCTGCTGGTAGTCGCCGTCAGTTCAGTAATGCCACAGCCTCCTGGCTGACCTGACCGGCTGCATATCTGCCATACTCCTCTGGACAAAGCTCTTGCCCATGTGCGAGCCTGTGCGCACATTTTCCCCATGTGCGGCACATACCACGTGCGCATATGTTGCCTCGAGACGGTTACTGTCGCCTGACCTCACTGGATCGGAGTTGACCTGAGCGGCCCCGCTGCGGCTTCGGCTCGGCTCAGACGGCGGCCGACCTCGCGCCCCCAGCGCGGTGCACGTGACGGGCAGACCAGACTGCAGACTCCGCCGCCGATCATCGACCTCTAACCCCGTGTCACGGCGTGGGAAGGTGGAACAGTCAAGGACGTTCCGCCGCCTGCAGTTCGCAGCGAGTCAACATGATTGAACACTGCTCTGCTCTCTTCCGCGGTGGCGGTCTGAGAATCCACTACATAACCGACAAGCCAAATTTTGCAGTTTTCTAGTCAACTGAGGCAGCACTTAGGATCCCCTTTCAACAGCGGCTACCAGCAATTAAGTCATATTTATACCACCTGACCTTACTCTCAAACGAGGCACGGCCGTACTAAACGCAGTTTATCTGGGTACATTCTAACCCGGTGAAGCGTTATGAATTTTGCGAGCTGTTCCCAAACATCCATTTAGCGACTGGCTATTTAAGATGATTATAACGTCCAGGACTCTTTCTTTGACTGACTTATTTCTCCGTTTGGGTCGTTTGCCCATCTGTCGTGTTAGTTGTACCATGGTCACTTGCATTAGGTCTGACCACATCTGGGTGACATGTGATGTTTGCGCTCTGCCAGAGGCGGACCCAGGAGCGATGATATTATGAGCTGTGGGGCACGTAGTTCTCCACTCGGGCCAGGCTAAGTGACCAACGGTAATACAACGCTATCTTACTCGTGGGGACTATGGAGAGCTTCCAATAATAAAATACATGCTGCTGACATCGCAAACATACACAATTAACAAAATCACATGTGTAAAGGTGACGCAAGACAAATATATCAAGAGTTCTGTATATGTGAAATTGTGTTGTGCTTAACTGTAGGTGACTATGGGGTTCTTCTCTTTTGACCCCTGGTGTCATATTCATTTGCAACGATCATCTTCCAGCTGTATTTATCGCTACGCACAAGGACGGAGTGTTGCAGCATGGATGGTAGGCAACTATTTGAACTCAACTCTTTATGGCCATTGTAGTGTCTATGCTCAAACGATTTGATATTCATTTCAGCACAACTTTGCTTGAGTCAATAAATATGATAGGTGCAGGGTGAGATTAAATGAAAGATAGCGTCATAAAGCCTGCTCATATTGCTGATTTAAGCGAACCGACGCATTTGGACAGAGGGCACTGAGTGGTAATACAATTAAACTGTTAGTTGCTATTCCATGCAGCTCGCACATCTACCATTGGCAAAAACAACTGTGTTCGTACGAATTCTTCGGCATTGTAAGCAAAGCATCAATTTTGGGATCCTCGTTGGCATTTCGATAAAACAACCTGGCAACTTGAGACTTGTATTCCTTTTCTGAACACACCTAAACACGCTACTAGTGTTTTCCAAGCCGTTTGGTTAGATACAATTCTGACATTTTACCGTGTTTAGTACTTTTAGCCACCCCAGACAAAGTGACATGAGCAGGTTGACTAAGTATCGAATGCACTCCGCTTTTTTGACATTTCTGCCGCTATCACTAGCACCATACTCTGCTAAGAGTATCTTGCAATGCTCCAAATAAATGCTCCAATTCATTTCTTTTGATGGCGTGTCGGTGAGTTTACATTTCATGATGCCACCGAAAGCGTTATGTTATGGCATTTTTTCGCTACCTACTTTTCGTCCCGCGTGAGCTAATGATGTCATTTTCAACACCCGTATAATCGAAACGGTAGTTAACACTCCGCTGCGAAGTTTGAGCCACCGGTCGACAAAACCACTCCAGTGCACTTGAGGATTCCGGTGGAGTAGCCTTGGACACGTATGGAACGCAACGGTTCGGTCGCGCCTGAACTACCCCTACGTTACGAGTGTGCATTAGTCGTGTTGTCGCTGCCTGTGCCTGCACCGGGACACGGTCGAGGGCGTCACTGACGGATAGTGACAGGCAAAACGTCCACGGCCGCGTGGAAAGCTCCTCCACTTGGCCACGGAAGCAGGTCGTCCGGAGAGATTCAATGAGCTCGCTTTCAATGATTAGTTACGTTAGGTGGTCCAAAGGAATGGACGGTGTCAAAGGAGAAAGCAGGACTAACATATAAGCCCTGGGCGAATCTCTTGGTACCGAAGTAGTGAGATACTGCGCATGGCGTTACATAAAGTCGTGTACTTAATAGCAGCAGCACTAAGTATTTGTACAACCGCGTGAATTTGCTTGATAATAACCACTTTTAAGCTTTGTTGAGGAAAAAGATGAGAGGAACCCGTCCAACCAAATATACAACCACGTTCCCCGAAACTCGTCCCCGATATATCGCAATGCATCCGCAGTTCATCACAATCTAAACATAATTCCTTTTTCCTATCTTGCTGCGCTAAATGCTGCGCACATTGCTAACATTGGCTGCTTGAAGGCAGCCAATTACAATTTTAAGCATCCAAATCACATAACTCTGATGTTATCACATCCAGCGCTACCTCCATATAACTCTTGCATTCCATGCATTTTAGCAAGAACCACGTAGGTTCAGCTCTCCTATTCAGCTTGGTTCCAATTTTTAAAGCGAGTAATACAGCAGCCATCAGCTCCACGAACGTAAAACGATCTAGGGACGAGACACTTTCGACCAGGTCGGCAGCGCGTGTCCGTTCACGGTCGTGCCCGATGTAAATAGCTCCTTCTATGGCGAGGGAAACACAGCAGGACACGTGAGAAGTGGTCTTTTGCTTTCACACGGCGGGATCATTCACCCTGTACAGACACCACAAATTGGAGAACAAATATTCAGGCTTCTTTGGAAAACAGAAAAAGTATATCGCAGCACACCATTCTTGTGGCTAGCTTTCAGAAAGCGGTAGATAGGAGGCAATGAGACACATGTGAATTATTTTGAATGCCCTTCTTGCACTCTCTGTGCACACGAGCAAAACTTTATGAAGACCGGTCTGGGTCCATGCTTGGAAAGAAACCTGGTCTTGACCCAAAATCAAATTGCGATTTGCCTTTTGACCGGCTTATTTTCAGTTTTTACAAAGATCTGATCAACAATTTGTGCAAATCTGCGTTTTTATTTTGTTCGAGAGGCATACATTTGTGGACCAAGTACCTTACGAGCCCCTCACCTAAGGTAGCTGGGGTGCTGGACCGCAGCCCCCCCCCCCCCCCGCCCCCAGTTCCTCTCCGCTGTCCGGAAATCCTGATAGCGGGTCCGCGCCGTAGATCACAACTGTGATAGATACGTTCGTGTGCTGCACTCGGGTTATTGGCGCTACCCAGCTCTGTAGCGCGTACAGTCTCTGGCCGGAGCTCTGGAGTAGGCGATGGCTGAAAACCTCCCAGTCACGGGCAGTCCTCCCAGTCTCTGCTGTTCTCTTGAGCTCGTCACACCGATAGTGCGTAATGAGTCCACGCTCAGCTGACCACAGCCACGAGCGGCCCCGGAGGCGGGAGCTGGCGGCACGCGGTGTGAGGGTGTGTGTGTGTGACGGGGAGCTGCCGACCGCGCGCGGGATGTGGAGGGGAGCGGCGTGGCGACGGGCACTCGGTGAAATGGGACAGCCGGCCACGGCGTTGGAGCCTGCTACATGGCCCGAATCTAGAGCAATGTTTGGAAGTTAAGGTTCTCACGACGACATCTACATGCCGGGTGGAAATCAGCTCACTTGGATTAGTTCACTTTCTATTTGAGCGAACAAGAATGCGTCTTCAGTGAGTCGATTTCCCTCATGAGGACAAAATAACACTGTAAGTAACAGCTTCCGCGCCAGCAATCTTCACCACTTAGTTCGCCCGAACTGATGACAAAGGCGTTTTGACCGACACACGCCAGCCGGCAGCCTCTGGCGCCTGCTCGCGTTCCCCGTTCCTGGGGCTTGGCCTCAGACTCTGCGCCGGCGCCGTACCACTGAGGGCGACGCCCGACTGACGCGCCTGCACCCCTCTGGCAGGACCCAGTGCAGACGATGAGCTACCGTCGGAGCGGCGGCCCGGCCGCGCCGGGTCACCGGGAGAACGGCGGGCACCAGAACGGCGGTGGCGCGCCGCCGCCGCCCTCCTCCTGGAAGAACAGCTACGTACCGGCCTACAGCAATGGCAAGAGCAATGGACAGGTGAGAGCGTACAGCTGGCCGGCCGGCGCTGCGAGCGCGTGAGTGCGATATGCCCGCAGGACTGCACGTACGATGTGCCCGCAGGGCCGCGTGTACGATGTGCCCGCAGGACTGCGCGTGCGATGTGCCCGCAGGGCTGCGTATACGATGTGCCCGCAGGGCCGTGTGTACGGTGTGCCCGCAGGACTGCGCGTGCGATGTGCCTGCCGGGCCACGTGTACGATGTGCCCGCAAGGCTGCGTATACGATGTGCCCGCAGGGCCGCGTGTTTGGCGTTCCCGCAGGACCGCGGGTACGGTGTGTCCAGGTGTGTGTGTGCGTGTGCATATCACATGTGCTTACGCTCTTACAGTACTAATACATTATTTACGTGTTGTGCTATGAAGATCTTGTCTACCGACCTGTCACCCTCGCAAGAAGAGACATTTACACCGCAGACCAAAGCCTCCATCAGATGTCATCGTACGACAGCCGACCTGTAGCGTCTGTAAAGGCAGTTCATCCACTCTGTTATGCAAATGGTCGATGATGCTCGACAAAATGATCTCTTGGGTAAGTATAGACTCGACACTGCACAACAACGCTATTTCAGGACGTTCCTGAACGCACGCAATTTAAATTCTCTTCACATGGACTGCCTCGGCCAAGTACGCAGTCAGCAGCAGCTCTGCTGTGCCCTGTGGTCACATCTAACCACCAGCTGAATGCCTCCCGCAGTCGCATATGCTTCTTAGCCGTTTTCGCCTCCGGTCGTTATGTTTCGCTGTACCGATACAAGTATCGGTGCTTGCATCGGTCTGGCCTGCCAAACAGACTTTCCAGATTGTTTTTCCTAGAGTGGACACAGCATTCTGTAATAAAAACGTTTTTTCAACACCAGCAAATCTTAAAGGTCTGAAGTCTTGTCTTTCTCGTGCGTTGAATTCCGCCGTAGCACCGCACATTAAAGCAATGCCGTCAGTAACCGAACACGCTCAGAACACAGTAACCGAACACACTCAGAACACAGTAACCGAACACGCTCAGAATACAGTAACGGACGCGCTCAGACATACTGTGGGCCTCATCTCAACCGAACACCGCCGGCGGTATTTTGCCGACTGTGTCAGCCTGGGGGCTTAAAGAGCTCGCAATCATGCCTCCGGAAAGTCAACGTTGTGTCTGCAGCGTCCCGTTCTTCACCGCCGGCTGACCGCACCCGTCGCTCTGCGGCAGCCGCTGGAGCCGCTGGCCGTCCAGCCGAAGACGGACGTGACGCAGACGCAGGAGCGTGGCCAGTGGGCCTCCAAGTGGGAGTTCATCTTCTCCTGCATTGGCCTGTCGGTCGGCATCGGCAACGTGTGGCGCTTCCCCTACCTCGCCTACGAGAACGGCGGCGGTGAGTGTCCCACGCCTCGGCGGTGGAGGAACTCTTCACAGCGGGTGATCTGTGACGTCCACAGACCGGGATCGGCGCACTGCGGAGAACGCCGCCTGCAAAATCAACATGACTGCCCGAGAATTGCTTCGAAATTTAATGCATGGTACAAGTCGAACTAACCTATTGGTAGCTTGCTTTGAATCCTGGGGTGAAAACTTACTGCAGTGTACTGCAGCGTGGTTTAGAACTGCCGTGGTACGTGTTTCGCACTCGGTGTCTGATGCCCTGCAGACCGGCGTTCCGCCTGGTGCTCGCAGCTGCATGTTTTCAGGAGTGCTGAGAAACTGCCGCTGGCTGGAGGTGCTCGCTTTGCTCATTGGAGCTGGTCCTCAGCAGTCCGGAACGTCCCCATGTAAAAAGAGCAATTCCGGTTACGCATGAACGACTCGTTCCTTATCAGCAATGCACAAAAACCAGCCCCGGCGGGCCTCCCTGGCCCGTCACATGTGTTAGCCACGGGCCATCAGGTCTTTGATGTTCCCAGCAGGGTTTGTTAGATGTTGAGATTTGCCGTCGTTATTGCCCCGCCACGAGGTCGCGCGCGCAGTGCAGTGCTGTGCGGCAAACTGCTGAGTCCCGGCGGCCCGAGCTGTCGCCCCGTCCGTCCGCCCCCCGCCCCCCGCCCCCCCCCCCCGCTGACACGGTTCCGCTTGCTGAGGCGGCACGCCTGCGCTGGCCGCCGTGTTCACCCAGCAAGGTCTGCGGTGCAAAACGCGTAACTGTCAGCGGCCTGACCACGCCCTCTCCTCCCCGCCCCCCCCGCTCCCGGCGAGCGCAGCCCGGCCTGCTGGAAACACGCAGGCGGAGCTGTGCGCCCACCGCCAGGACAGTCACACAGTGGCTGTGCTCTGGTCCGGCGTGGGAGCTGGTGCTGAGCTGTGCACCCGCCGCTAGGGGAGTGGAGCAGCCACATGGGAGGGGGGGGGGGGGGGGGGTGATGTGACGATAGCCTTGTCGACCACGAAATGGCAGGAGAATGTGCGATGTTACAATGTGTCCCAACATATTACAATCTTCTGAATATATATATATATATATATATATATATATATATATATATATATATATACACATAACACATACACACAAAGAGTGAGATGCAGGGGTGGGGTAGTGGGTGTACCCAGATGCTTCTAACAACCTTTCTGAATGTGAGGAGAGGCGTTTTTAGTAATAATCCAAAGATGCTTATCTAATTTAATGCAACGATAGCGAGCTATAATACCATCATCATTTGAAACAAACAAAATTTTTTCTGTGGTGTAGCCGTTGAATGCGTCCAGCTGTGGATGAACCCATATTTTTGGCGGTACATTGATAGTAATATGGGTGACTTTAACGAAATATTTATCGCAAATTAATTTTGGAAAAGTAAGCTTTAAAATGTCTCTAAAATCAGGTTTAAAATTTCGAGGCATGCATTTCGACCTGACACGTATCGTTCCTAATAGGATTACACAGGAGTTCCTTTGTTGCTTAAGATGATCGTTCAGAAATGCCTATTTATGTAATTTATGTGAGCAATACCGGTGCATGTTGTGGCCTACCATGCTAGCTGTCACAATGTGACCCGATTGGTCGGTTGTCTCAAAAAGCGTGTCCTGTTTGGGGGAGGTATATTAATGGTGATTTTTTGTGTTTTCATACAAATTTTCCGGAATATCAACGGTTTAGTTTCGCATGTTTCTGGGTGATTTCAACATCGTGGCATAAGTGGTTAAGATACCGTTCCCAGCTAGACCTAATTGGAAACTGCTTTCAATGCATCAGATTGCGTTAAGCATGAGCCTAAATATCTGTGAAAAGTGAATCTGGAACATGCAGACAGCACAAAGATACTACTGGAACAAACACACGAGGGTCCTTGCCTTGTGTAACAACCTTCTGAGTGTTTTGAGCATTGTATTTCACGCATGCATTCAACGCCCAAATATTCTGGCCGGTACGGCTGGAGCCAAGTGATCAATGATATGTTCGAGATGGCCTCCTCCTTGTCATCTAGATGTGATGTAGGTTGCTTCGGAGGTGGCCATCATTTGTTTCGTGGCTGCCTTTGTTGTCGCGAAAATGCAGAGGACTCGGGTCCATATCATATGACGGTCACTCCACGTTCCAAAGCAGCCAGCCTCCTTCTCTGCACGTTGTGCTGTGCGCTCTTCTCTGGTTTTCATGGCTGTGTAAGGTGGTGCACGTTCCTGTCTGGAACGATCGCTTGATTTTTACGATTCTTGTCTTGCTTTCAATGGAAGCACTGGGCTCATTGAGCATATGAATGCTTATGAGCATCTTTTTTGCGCGCCTGCTGCGCATAATATTTAAAAAAGGCCGTGGTGTGGGCCTGTCATCAATTAACTGCCATGGAAGAAGTACTGCACTGACGGCAGTAAAGTTGACTTGCGTGTGTGAAACTAGTCAATCAAAATGTATGAAACGTTAGTTGAATAAAACAAATAAAAAGTTTTTTTTAAAACCAAACAGGTAGCAGCGGTAATACAACTTCATAAACAACGTATGGAGATGGCGCAAACCCATATTTTAAATGGAAAATGGCAATGGACAAGTTGCTCTCCGTTCGATGACGGGTCGAGCTTTTTCACGCATCATTACCAACGTATGCGTGCACCTCACAGAGCACCGCCTACTTCAGCGCCAGTGCACAGACTCGTTTGACGCTTTGCGCTGGTGGCCTGCCGTCAGGAGCGTTCCTGATTCCGTACGTCATCATCCTGTTCCTGGTGGGGAAGCCGATGTACCTGATGGAGACGGCCATCGGCCAGTACAGCCAGCTGGGGCCCGTCTCCATGTGGAAGATGGCGCCCGTCATGAAAGGTCAGTGTGGATGGTGGTGTTCTGCTTGCCACCACCGGTTGCCTGTCCGCTGTGCTGCCTGTGTGCGTGCTGACCCGATAGTACTGCTCTGGTCAACCCCCGAACTGATCGGCAAACATAGGAGGGAAGCGCAACAGCACACGCTGTGAGATAGTCCTGAGGATCTGGTTCGAACACAGCAAGCCCCTCCTAATCCAGAGTCCAGTTCGCTCGCCCCATGTCAGTTCGGTGGGACGTGTCATCCGAGCGGCCGCTCGCGCCGGGCTCTCGGTCCCGCCGCTCGAGCCGGGACTCCTCGGTCCCCGACGCTCGCGCCCGGGCTCTCGTCCCGCCGCTCGCGGCAGGGCTCTCGTCTCCCGCGCTCGAGCCGGGCTCTCCGTCCCGCCGCTCGCCGCCCTGGGCTCCTCGTCCGCGCCCGCTCGAGCCGGGCTCTCGTTCCCGCCGCTCGTGCGCCGGGCCTCTCGTCCCGCCGCTCGCGCCGGGGCTCTCGTCCCGCCCGTCTCGAGCCGGGCCTCCTCGTCTCCGCCGCTCGCCAGCCGTGGGCTCTACGTCCCGCCGCTCGAGCCGGGCCTCTCGTCCCGCCGCTCGAGCCGGGCTCTCTCGTCCCCGCCGCTCGAGCCGGGCTCTCGTCCCGCCGCTCGAGCCGGGCTCTCGTCCCGCCGCTCGAGCCGGGCTCTCGTCCCGCCGCTCGAGCCGGGCTCTCGTCCCGCCGCTCGCGCCGGTATCTCGTCCCGCCGCTCGAGCCGGGCTCTCGTCCCGCCGCTCGAGCCGGGCTCTCGTCCCGCCGCTCGCGCCGGGCTCTCGTCCCGCCGCTCGAGCCGGGCTCTCGTCCCGCCGCGCGCCCGGGCGTCCGTCCGTGCCGCGCCGGCGTCCCCACCCCACGCGCTGCCGGCCGCTGTCGGCCGTGGCCGCCGTCCGTATCGGCGCCGCCGGCGGCGCCGCTGCCCGCTGAGGCGCGAGCCGGCGAGCCGCGCCGCCGGTTTCACCACGCCGTGCCGTGGGAACGGCGCCGGCGCCGGCTGCGTGCGGACTACGCACCGACTGCTCACGGAACACGAGCCGACTGCAGAGGGACCGCGTACGGGCTGCACCCGGGTCACGTACCGACTGCAGTCAGGCCAAGCACAGAGTGCACACGGACCACGCACGGATCCCACGTGAATTACGCGCGCCCTATGCGTGAACTACACATTGATCACACACAGTGACGCATAGGCACACGCACCACTCACGCACGGAACGCGCGGCAGCCGGGAAGTATACGGGGACTCACGAGCCACGGTGACGAAAATACAAACACCGATCCTGGCGACGTATGCGGACTGTTTACCCCAAATCTCCTGTGTACACCAAATCAGCCTAGAGCCCCAGACGGGTGTAACGCCCCCTCCAGTAGCATGAAGTTTTCCGGTGCCGGTGCTACCTCTCCGGAGAAGACTTAATGATGACTTCACAACTGGATAACTGAATGCCACTTCGCCGTCACGCTCACATGTCGGGAACAAAAACACTGTACAGCATCACGAGCTCAGGCACAAAAAGCCGATCACGTTGAGTGCGCCGTTCCAGCAGGTCTCGACTCGGGCTTCACGAAAGCGCAGCGTATCGCCCTCTGACCGCTATCCGGACGGCGGGCCCGTGCTGGCCTGGCGTCACGCATACACGGCTGTTGAGCCGCACCCCCGGCGCGACCGCCGCAGGGCATGAGCACGTGTCAACACTGCGGTCTGACGCGGCCGAGTGGCGACGGCGCGCCGCTCGGGACGGCACGGGATATGCACCGCGGCCGCGGTGGCCGGCGGTGCTGTGGCAACCGGGGCAGAGTGCAGCGCACGACGCCGCTCCGGCCGGCTAATGGGCCTCCCCCAGTCATTTGGTGGTGGAGAGTCAGCAGTGGGATTGAGGCCAGCGGGAGGGTGTCTCAACGGGGATGGTTATGGGCCTGTTGTCGGATATGTGACGCACGCACCTGCCACAGAGCGCGGCCAATTCTACTCAATCATTACCGGCACGCTCCACAACATTGCGATTACTCTGACTAAAAACACCGAGTTAGTCACACGCCGGAAGGTGGTTTGATTTCTGAAAGTGTTCGTATGGAACTCTCCTGTTGACCCGTGCTTTTTTCCTTGAGTACATTGCCGCTAGCAGGCTGCCAGTCACCCCTCACTTCGACCTCAGAGCTGTCGACTCATGATTGGACGCTGCCACAGAGGTGCTGGTGAGCACTGTCCCTTCTCCGGTTCATGGGCGGCGAAGCTGCCGTCAGTCACGTGCTCTGCGCTGCGTGTCGCCTGGCCGTCCGGGCTAACACGCACACGCAAGCAGCTGTCCAATCATGAAGTGCCTAGGGCATCGGGTCGCAGAAAGTGCAGAAAACTACGATCCCACTACGATGCCAAAGCATTTTTGGAAGACGTAGACTTCGATCCCAAAACATGTCTTTTTCGAAAATTGTGACCGATTTTACCGGCATGGTGCCTCGAACTACACCGCAACGCTGTAAACTAAAACATCGCGTAGAAGATGCGCGATAAACATATACAAGGAGATGTTCGCACATCGCGTAGAGTGACGAGGAGTTTCCCTTCCCTGACAGCTGAATCATTGATAACGTTCTGCTCGGTTTGCAGGCGTGGGAGCGGCCATGGTCGTGATGTCGGTGATCGTCGCCATCTACTACAACGTCATCATGGCATACACGCTGTTCTTCACGTTCGCCTCATTCCAGTCTGGCGCCGCGCCCTGGAGCGAGTGTCATGGTGAGCACGACGGCGCTTCGGCCGGCCCCGTGGTGCTCGGCAACGTCATGCCACGGGCCGGCTCTTCGTACCCTCATAGCACAATATTGTCCCAGTAAGCCCGACTTGGCTATATTGTCATACTTAAAGTTTTGCTTGAAATCCATGAACCTGGTGCCGATTTGGTCTCACCCCCCACTCGCCCACGATGTCTCGGAGCCACTTGGACTGGTTGAAGAGGTTCCTTTCGCTCGGAAGCCGACCACCTTTTCAGTTGAGTATCAGTTCGGTACAAAAAGATCAGTGACGCACTCAAAAGGACCAGGTAGGAAAATGTAAATGCTTGCTTTACATATAAAACATTTTCCGATCTCCTCCAAGTCGATATATCCTGACATTGCAACTATTTTGACTGTTCAGCCAAGTCATGCGTTCAACCCATGTTCAATAGGTAACGGAATACGGGGTATTTCAGATGCAAACATAATTTCTTGTGTTGAACGGAGCACTGCAACACAGATAAGCTCTGTCCTCTGTCTACCCCATGTCGTCGTATCTGTCTTGGTGCCAGTGGCCACATTTATATATATATATATATATATATATATATATATATATATATAATTTCTGGATCCTCGGTGGTAAACGCTGTTTTTGAGTGGCAGGACTCTGGGCGAATAAGTTGAATAGATGTATAGCTACGATTAAAGCCTAGATGAACCGAAGAGCTAGAGTCTCTCATTAAAGGACACACAAATAACCAATCAGCCGGAGTTCACCCGTACAACAAAGACTGAGTCGAAAATGACGTCATCATTCCTTCTGAGATGCCACCCATGAACGGACGGTGAGGAATTCCTTTTCCCTCCATCCCCGCGACGCAAAGCCAGCAAAAAAGCGGAAACACATATAGGAAGAATACGAAAAACAGTATAACTGTTATGGTTATTGTCAGCAGTGCATACAAGCATCTAGCAAAAGAATGAGAGCAGTCATAGCTGATCAGTAAATGACTGCCCGGTGATTACCAACCCGAAGATTCACGTAATCACACACTCGTTGCGCTGTAGTTGAGGACATCAGTCACACAGATCAGGAAGTCTTGCCCTGTTCGAACTTTCAAGCGGAGTCGTTATGCTATGATCCCCATGAAATTTACCTAGCTTAGCAGTGTTTGATGCTGATTGACACTCCGGGAGTCAGAGCCACTTATAATGATGGCTTGATGAGATAAATGGTTGGCGAGATGATCGGGATATGAGGCAATTGGTGACGTGTGGTTTTCTGTCATTTGTCGAGCATTGTTATGTATGTCAGATCTGCCTGCATATGAATGATGCTTGATTTTTTTAAAATTTTTTAATTGAATTTTGAATTTTTTATGTTCACATCTATCACTGACTTATTCAGATGTAAGTGCTGTGATATGCACTTGGCATTTTGTCAGGTTCTTAATATCTAATTTTGTTAGCTCAACAACATCTATTAATATAAATTTTGAGACATTGTGGCGTTCGAAAAAGGCGGTTTCATGCCGCAGCTCGAGTAGTGTTATAACTGTTTGTGTATTGCCCGCTGAAGTAACCTCTGTGCCTGGTTGTCATATTAGAGACTTCGGACAACTGAATTATGGCATGAATTTCGGAGGAAAGGTTTGAATTGTGATCTTTCTTACGCATAAAAGCTAATTAACTGTGGAGTTCCAATGTCACTAACATGACATAGCTAAAAGTTTCTGAATATTGAACCCACGTCCACGTCCACCATGTGATTTCAGATTGGTTCGCTGACGACAACTGTTTCGTGCGTAACTCTTCCTTCCCGGCATGCAAGTACCTAGTATTGCAGAACATCACCAACTTCACAGCCGGCGTCACCTGCCACACCAAGACCGAGCTGGCCTCCGAACAGTACTTCAAGTAAGTGCTGATCGCACGACAGTGTCAGGACCTGTGGGCAGCGAGCGCCCGGTGCCGCCCCCCCCCCCCCCCCCGAACTCTGGGCACTAGCGAGTCTCCGCGGTCACCCAGCTCCAGACGTCGTTCGCTCGGAGTTTGGTATGGCCACTGCCTGCCGCAACGATTTCGGCCCTCACGTGATTACCTTGAAGGTTAAGTGAAAGGTTGAATCTGCTTAGTCGTGAGCGTTATTGTCCTAGTGGAATGTTATGCATTCATAGGAACTCCTTGGCTTGGATTCTATTATCACGCGCCCGGGTCGCCGGTCGGCTATCTTCGCTCGGGTGGGGCCAATTTGACCCCCCTGAGATTTCAGAAACAGAGAGATAGAGACACCAAATTCACAGGATGCGTTGGCCTGTACGTAATCTCACTTGCGTCAAAGTTTGGGGCTCTTAGGTCATGCCCTTGGTTCGAATAAGGTCAAACAAATTCAAACTCCAGGTTAATGTCCGAAGTGCCCCGGAACCTAGGTATCTGTTTTAAGCAAAATTAATTCATTTGTTGTGCTGCCTAAGAAAGTATCTCAGTGATGTATGGCTTTGTCTAACGCTCTGTTGTTGCATCAGATTGACCGACTTCCTAGAAATTTACTTGGTTGAATCCATGAACTGATTTTGACCTGCTGTAGGTCAGCGAACTCATAAGGTAGATCTAAATTTTGGAAACCAAACAATCTGCTGTTAACAGCTCAGCAAAATTTGGCGCCGCTACGCCGCGCCGTTCGAAAACCTGTCCGGAAAACCCTTCGAAAGGGGGTCAAAGTGACTCCTACCCGAGCGCATGTTAAGCAAGGATGTTTGCTATTTTGCTGGATAATCCCATACAACCATTGCTTGGCCGGAAACAACACAGTTCTACTACGTGATCATATTACTCGACCATCTCAGTTAGCTACAGTCATTCACAAGCCAATCAATAATACCAGGTCAGCTCACCTCCCCACGACTGTCCGGCGAACACGTGCACGTGCAGGTTCATGTTAGATGGACCTGCCCGTGGGTCCAGCCCATACCCAGCGCACATAAACGTCGACTTTCGCGTCCACATAAAATCGAGAACCTTTCGACCATTCCTCCATGCCAGCCAGTACGATTCTCGTTGATTGCATGGCACACAGGCAACGTTTTGTCTATGTTTTTTCGCATTCTTTTCAGCCGGGCTAGAAAGTGTAAGAAGCCAAGTGGCGCAATGTGTTGGACCATTGCCAAGAGTTCTGAACTTGGTTCCCGATGTAGCGAATTTTGAATGGCTCCAGCCCCCGTGGGTCATTTTACGGGTTATACGCTTCAGCATATACCAATAGTATTGACTTTGCCTCGTCTCTAAGTGGCCCTTCTGGCCTGTCAAACATACAGCCCCAATAAAAAAGATTAACAAATGGACATAGCGGCCTGAGTCTTGCGCTGTGATCTGTTACCGGACCAGTAACCATCACCGCTGTCGGACCAGTGACCCCACCGTTCCCTGACTAGTGACCCCCACCGCTCTCGGACCAGTGACCCCACCGCTCCCGGACCAGTGACCCCCACCGCTCCCTGACTGATGACCCCCACCGCTCCCGGACCAGCGACCTTGGCCGCTCCTGGGCCAGTGGCCCCTACCGCTCCCGGACCAGTAATCCCCACCACTCCCGGACCGGTGACCCCACCGCTCCCTGACTAGTGACCCCCACCGCTCCCAGACCAGTGACCCCCACCACTCCCAGACCAGTGACCCCCACCACTCCCAGACCAGTGACCCCCACCACTCCCAGACCAGTGACCCCACCGCTCCCGGACCAGTGACCCGCACTGCTCCCAAACCAGTGACCCCCACCACTCCCAGACCAGTGACCCCCACCACTCCCAGACCAGTGACCCCCACCACTCCCAGACCAGTGACCCCCACCGCTCCCGGACCAGTGACCCGCACCGCTCCCGGTCCAGTGACCCCCACCGCTCCCGGTCCAGTGACCCCCACCGCTCCCAGACCACTGACCCCCACCACTCCCAGACCAGTGACCCCCACCGCTCCCGGTCCAGTGACCCCCACCGCTCCCAGACCACTGACCCCCACCACTCCCAGACCAGTGACCCCCATCGCTCCCGGTCCAGGACCCCCACCACTCCAAGACCACTGACCTCGATCGCTCCCGGTCGCAGAAACTACGTGTTGCGTGTGACGGACGTCGGCCTGGAGACGCCGGGCGTCATTGGCGACATCAACTGGCAGCTGGCGCTGTGCCTGCTGCTCTCATGGATCATCGTCTTCCTCTGTCTGATGAAGGGCGTCAAGAGCTCGGGCAAGGTGAGGAGCGGACGCGGGCCGCCCGGCCCAAACCGAACCCGCTGCAGAGAACGATGCCGTGCCCTAGCCATTTGGCACGTAAACGTGATCATGATAGAGGCCGAGTCTTGTGATCTAAAATTGCAAGCATCATGCGATGATAAATAGACGAGCATCAACGGCGCAAAATCAAACGAATGCGCCAAGTCTGCTTGTGTGCACTGGCACGTAAGTAGACCAAGTCTGCTTGTGTGCGCTGGCACGTAAGCAGACCAAGCAATGGTGCACCGTGAGAACTGTTGGCTATTTAGCGCTACCCACGCCATAACCGTAAAGCTCTTGGTGCCAGTTTCACACGTGTTAACCTAAAACGGTTCCACATGATGCGCCCGCTCGTGCAGCACCGCCTGCACTGGGCGCCGGTCGGTTGAGCTCTACTGCCGGGTGACCGAACGCCGGTGGGCTGAGCTCTGCCGCCGGGTGACCGGGCGCCGGCTGAGCTCTGCTGCCTAGTGACCGGGCGCCGGTGGGCTGCCGCAGGTGGTGTACGTGACAGCCACACTGCCCTACATCTTCCTGATCGCCATCCTGGCGTACGGCTGCACGCTGCCCGGCGCCATCGAAGGCGTCAAGTTCTTCTTCATCCCCGAGTGGGAGAAGCTCAAGGACATCAACGTAAGCGCAGCAGAATATTGCAAGGTTTGACGCCACATCAAGGCAAAGCTTCACGGCAATCAACTCGCTTGGGACGTTTATCGCCATTGCCGACTGCGTGAGGTCCATTGATAAGATGTACCCATCGACCCGATGTCATGTCCAGCGGGAATGCCACCGGTCGGCTGCTGCCTTTTAACCTCTCAACCCATCATCAGCCACACAGCTGTGATTCGTCGCTCACCCTCACTCATCTCTCAACAACCCAGCCGTGACCAGCCGTCTATTCCCTGCCGCTCAGGTATGGCAGAAGGCGGCTGAGCAGATGTTCTTCTCGCTGAGCGTGTCCTGGGGAGGCATCATCATGTTCGGCTCCTACAACAAGTTCAACAACAAGGTGCACATCGACGCCATGCTGATCACCTCGCTGGACTTCATCACCTCCATCATCGCGAGTGTGGCCGTCTTCAGCATCATGGGCTCAATGGCCCAGTCTGCAGGAGTCAAGGTGGACCAGGTGGTCAAGTCAGGCCAGGGCCTGGCCTTCATCGCTTTCCCAGAGGCCATCGGCGCAGTGCCCGGCTGGCAGATTTGGTCCGTCCTCTTCTTCATCATGCTCTTCACCCTCGGGCTCGACACGGAGGTATGTGGCTGTTGACTCGCTGCGAGCGAACCCCACAGCGATCGTGTCAAACGTAGCGAATGCCTAAATGAGTTCAAACGCATCACAACGTGGGCTATATTTTTACTGTCTCCTCGTTGCATTTGCTAATTCATTACGCAATCACATAACGTGTGGCCCGTGCTACGTTGGGGATGCGCATGCACTAAAATCACCCGTAAAATGTACCTATATTTCATAGACTATTGGCTAATTAGCTTCCAATGCATAGCGCCAATGCCCACGGGTAAACAAACAGATCCTGATGAGATCAGCATAGCCTTTACTGTACAATTTGGCGCGCCTTGATCCAGCACTATCTGCATATTCTTTAACGGTCCTGTGTGGCTTGCAAAAGCCAGATTAAATTAGCGACAAAGAAGGTGGACTTGTGCTTAACCATCACAGGGGACAGAACGGATAAGTCAAGATTTACAAAGCTCAGCAGCGTTCATAGCGACACACAAAAGTACACGCCTTGCAAAACCTGTCCCCTAGCCTTCTCACTTATGATGCAGCATCTGAGCGTAGGTACATTGTTTTTAATGTTGACCTTGGTTCACTTAGCAGGTGAAGACCATGATGGCCTTTGACTCCATGATGTTTAGGACACACAGGCCGAGCGTCATAAAGCGTTCCTGATTCCGCAGTTTGCCCTGCTGGAGACGGTGACTACTGCCGTCTACGACGCGTTTCCGTCCACAAGAAAGAGCAAGGCGCTCGTCACCCTCATCGCCTCCAGCTCCTGCTTCTTGATGGGGCTGCCGTGCGTCTCCCAGGTACGTGTCGCACAGCCACACGCATCGTATACATTCACGCAGGCAGGGTGTTCAGGTAGCGTCGAGCAAGCCAACATAGCGTTGGATGTGGTATGGCAGTGCACACAAATGTCCTATTTACATGTATGTCCGGGCTCCACGCGCTTAAAGAAGCCTAGAGACCTGGCGCTTCGATTAACCATGTTTTACGAAGTCAGGTAATATTTGGTCCTTTGAAAGACACTGGGAGTTACCACATTGGCAAAGAGGTGGTTGCTACCCTGGCAATTACTAACGTTACGAAAAAACGGGAAGTCAACAAAACACCCATCCCACTCAGGTAATCACGACGTAAACGCAATCCAAAGGCGGCATAACATTTAGAATTCTGAGCTGTCCACGATTCGTTAAGTGTCGACGAAGCGACATGGGCAGCCGACTCGTCCGTGCCACTTTCACTATTGTACTGATCAGAGGTCAGAGGTCGGCTTACAGAGGAGGGCTGGGAAGTCAGGGATTCCGGACACAGTAGCTGCACATAACCCATCGACCGACAGCTGGTCGAAGCCCATCCACGTCGCCGGAAGTGAAGTTCCTGAAGTACTCTAAATGTAGAGCGCAACACATTCTTTTTTCTGATCAGAGATGACATACAGAACGCAAGGAACTGTTGAATGATTGCTGGGAATGGAAGCCCCGAAAAGACCATCTTTTTGCACGATCACGCAGTTACGACCGTCACAAGAACAGCAGATCACTTCGCCGAAAGGTAGACATGTAAAACGTGGGGGATTTCCGGGGTAATCACGCCGGCTGCAGCTTAGCCGTACGGGTCTGTCATGGGTGGCGAAACTGAGCGACACAACCAGGAGGTAAAATTGCCTGGGCAGTGACCACACTGGAGAGAGGAATGAACCCCTCATGGCTGTTCCTGACCACTTGTGCATTATCAGGTCGCCCGTCACCCTGCAACTAATGAACACGTTTTCCCGTTACTGATCGCACGTGTTTCATCAGACAGCCCGTACATTCCACAGCTGATGGACATGCTCTCTCGTTACTGATCGCGTGCGTGTCATCAGGCGAGCCCGTACACCCTGCACCTGATATCACGTTTTCCCGTTACTGATCGCGCGTGTGTCGTCAGATAGGCCGTGCACCCTTCGCCTGATGGCCACGTTATACAGTTACTAACCACGTGTGCGTCAACAGACAGCCCGTCAACCCGCACTTGATGGACACTTTCTTCCGTTACCGACAGCGTGCGCGTCATGAGACAGGCCATACATCCTGCACCCGATGCACACGTCCTCCCGTTACTGATCACGTGCGTGTCGTCAGGCGGGCCCGTACATCCTGCACCTGATGCACACGTTCTCCTGTTACTGATCGCGTGCGTGTCGTCAGGCGGGCCCGTACATCCTGCACCCGATGCACACGTCCTCCTGTTGCTGATCGCGCGCGTGTCATCAGGCGGGCCCGTACATCCTGCACCTGATGGACAACTTCGGCGGCCTGGGCGTCATGGTGATCGCCGTGTTCGAGCTGGTCGGCATCATGTGGGTGTACGGCGTGCGGCGCTTCGCCGACAACCTCCAGTTCATGGTCGGCTTCCGACCCAGCATCTTCTGGAAGGTCTGCTGGGCGTTTGTGTCGCCCGTGATGCTGGCGGTGAGTGAGACCTGACACGGCGGGCTGGCCCGAGGAGCTAAGCGGGTCGAGCTTTCCAGGCGAACAGTGCGGGCGCGAGGGTAGTGTGGTTGAAATGGGCGTTAATCGAGCCCAGTTTGGCAAGTCTGAAATAACTAAAAAGTTCAGTTCAATGTCAAGCGCCACTGAGGACAGCACAACGAGTACAAAGGCAATCGGGATGAGCCAAGTTCTTTAACGGAGACATGGATGTGTCAGGTTTTTATTCCTCCGGTTGAGATGTCTTTTACAAATTGTAGGTCTATGCCGGTTTCCAGCGGTTCATTGAACGCTGTGAGGGGGTTGGGACCTACATAAAACAAAAGGTATACAACCGTTGGACCGCCTCCGGGCTCCGTGTCCTGGAAGTTCCCCCGCGAAGTAAAGCGACACCAAAGGGCAGGGCAACGTCACGGCGAGACTTGGCGTGCCAGGCACCCTTACTTCGGCTACAGTTTCAGAGCCGTTCGGGTGTTCTATAACTGGTAAGGCAAAAGCATGAACTTGCCCTACTCCCAGCCGAGCCTCGGCTTGAGCGCACCGCTCCCGTCCCCCTCCCCCCTCCGATAAACCAACGCTGGCTGCTTACTTCCGTTGTCGCAGCCGCATGGCTACACCGACCGCCATCGTTAGATTTTGTGTTCTTTCCATGTTACAATCCTGTAGTATGTAATGTATGCGGAGCGTTTGCACAGTCAGACAAAACCAATGCATATATATCAGGACCTTGATGCTGGTGCAGACCCATGTAACAAACGACAAGTGAGAAACTTTGTCGCTCCATTGGCAGTAAAAATTGATCATTGAAATTTCGTCAAATGATTTGTTTTCTTTGATTACCGAATGAAACTAATCGAATTGTATTCATGAACTCATGCTAAGCCCCATAATTTCATAAGCTTGATCCGGCATGAAATGCCGCGCCGAGGTTGACGGTTCTTTATTTTGCATCATGACTACGAGAAACAAGAAACGGTGTTAACCTGAGGCGCCAGAACCTCTCAGCAAAAATGTATAATATTCCGCATCAAAACCTCAGCTCATCCTAGATCAGTTCAAAACGACCGGAGTTGGGAGAGTTTGTTCCCCACTTTGTTAAGTTTAGACACACCTTCGGGGCTGCAGTGTGTTAATCGGCACTGGTATGCATCATGACTTGCCTGGTCTTATCAAAATCAGGTCACCGCTGGCTCCCAGGCTTCAATAATGCTAGTGCATAGCCCGCTGAGACTTCCGCTTCCTGGTAATTTGCAGCCAGTGTTATGAGCTCAATGCAGGCCAACCCGAGCCTGGACAGAGGTCAGTAATTCAAACCCAGGTCGCGGTAATATGACGACACAGCCATGCTTTACGTACGCCATCCGTCACAGTCACTACGTAAATTATGTTCTGTTTTGGAGCCCATCGTACGCGTTCACTCTCGACTTCTAGTATGAGCGAAAATATGTGGTACCATCAAAGGCCAAATGCACTGCTGTGCGTTCAATAACGCCTATTGAGCCTGAAGCGAGCTATCCGATGTCATACTCCGCTGGGTCCAGCACGAACAGTTTTGAGAACAATCCATACAATCAAGAGAGCAGAGGCTTGCGATCCCCCGTTCGGGGGGGGGGGGGGGGCGAGCTCTTCTCCCGCAAGGTTTACGCCACCGTGTTTCGGCATTAATCAATGGCATAACGAGTTACAATGAGGATGTCATCACTGAGTCTTCTTTATACGGGGTGGCACAAGCCGACACGCGGAATGTAAAATAATCCCTCTCGAGAAACTGCAAGATTACGCAGTTCCCCAAAAGGGATCATTTTACATTGAGTTGTTACGTGAGTTGGTAAGTGCATTTGCCAGGAGAATTATGCATAAAGATAGGACAGCACTAATAACCTTGTTCTTCGTGCAATAACCAGGAGGATGGAGAGATAGATGCATTTATATTTCCACTGCATGCCTTTGTCGGAACGAGTATCAGTACAAACTTCAGATTGCGTCTGAAATTGAATTTACTACTGATCTTTGTTTCCATGAAGACGTGAACTCGAAATATCCAGGCATATGTGTATATATATATATATATATATATATATATATATATATATATATATATATATATATATATCCATTCTCCCGGTTATTCTGCGGGGAATAAGGCCACTAGTACCGTCTTATCAAATGGAAGATTTTTAATGTGCTCATGCCTAATTATAACGTTCACAGTTCTGGAGAGCGTTTTTGATTGCAAATATTCTCTGGCATGCCACCATTGATAGGTCGCTTCCTGTATATGAAAAATAAATTTCTGCCCTTCGCCATGCTGGTTGAGTCGGTCATTCAAACTATTTTTTTAATTTCAGTCCATTTTCGCGTACTCCATGTACGAATATAAGCCGCCCACGTACGGCGACTACGAGTTCCCAGAGTGGGCCATTTACGTCGGCTGGGGCCTGGTCGGCGTCTCCCTGGTGCAGATACCGCTCTGGGCACTGTGCACCATGCTCTACTACCTCTGCAGATGGGTGAGTAGCGGCGTGATACCGCAAACGGAAACTGTGTGCTACCATCACTGTCAAATATCGCTGACGGCGCCGATGCGAAGAGATAATTTTAAGAAGGTTGTGTCGTCTTAGCGATAGGACAAGAACAAAACAAGCTAGAACAAAACAAAGAAAGCCATTTCGTTCTTTTTAGGCAGCACAATGTCACCTCGGCGTTTAACAGGCATGTAACCGCGGTACTCACCACACAGCTGTAACTGGGCTGCGGTATCCACCCACCAACGCGCTTAGTGCAACGTGGTGCTTCAGTTTCTCTAATCGCCTCGCCACGCTGCTTGCCTTGCTGCGGCCAGCCGCTAATATATTAGATTATTTATAAGTAGTTGGTCGTCGCTGGGCTGTGCGCCTCTCTCCCTCTCTCTCAATCTTTGAGAGAGTGAGAGAGAGAGAGAGTGGAGAGAAGGGATGAGCGAGAGCGAGAGAGCGGTGCGAAGCAGAGCTGAGAATCGGTCCGCCGTGCGTCCACAGAGGCCGAAGCAGGCGTTCCAGCCGCTACCCAGCTGGGGGCCCGGCGACAGGGAGGCGCGCAGCAGACTGCTGGCGCTCCAGCACCAGATGCACCAACGGGACCGGCTGCGTGGCCTCGACAACCACGCCATGGAGCTGGAGCGAGTATAGGCCCGCTGCGGCATGCGCCGAACGTCCTAGGTGCTGTGCATAGGTGGCGCTGAGAACAGCCGGCGAGTGCTGTATAGGAGGCGCTATGGGGTGAGTGGACCAGGGGGTGATGGATGCCAGTCGATGAGAAGCGGCTAAGATGCGCCAGACGGTGGTCTTGACAGCGTCCGCCGGCCACCAGAGGCCGTGTGCCAGTCGACGGGCTGGCGGCTAAGATGCGCCAGACGGCGGTCTTGACAGCGTCCGCCGGCCACCAGAGGCCGTGTGCCAGTCGACGGGCTGGCGAGGCGCGTGGCCGCCATCGGCAGCATCGCCCACGCACGGAGGGAACTCACCGACGGGCTGCGTCGTTGGCCGGCGCCGGCCAGGAAGGCGGGTCTCCAGCCCGCCGCTGTGCCAGCCGCCGCTCAGAGCGATCAGCTGCAGCGGAAGATCAGGCAGGGAAGCACTGGCAAGCGAGGGGCGGCCGCATGTGCAGAGTGAGGGTGGCAGGGAGGCGCGAGAGCGAGAGGCGGCTGCATGTGCAAAGTGAGGTGAATAGAGCGACACAGTCTGGTCGAGGCCCGCCAGCGAGGTGGACAAGGCGGCGGAGCCTGGTCGAGGCCCGCCAGTGAGGTGGATAGGGCAGCGGAGCCTGGTCGAGGCCCGCCAGTGGGGTGGATATGGCGGCGGAGCCTGGTCGAGGCCCGCCAGTGAGGTGGATATGGCGACGCAGTCTGGTCGAGGCCCGCCAGCGAGGTGGATAGGACAGCGGAGCCCGGTCGAGGCCCACCAGCGAGGTGGATAGGGCAGCGGAGCCCGGTCGAGACCCTCCAGCAGCTGATCATGCCTTGTTCCTGAACTGTGTCGAGGAGGAAACTGTTTGTGCACTGGTTTCCAGCGTGAGAAGTCGTGTTCTACAGCGATGACAGCTCTTTTACGAGTGCGTTTTACAAGTGCAAGCTCTTGCAAGTGTGGCTGAAACATCGGATCAATGGACCAAACTCAAACGAGCACCAGGGCAACATACCATCATTAAGCAAGCAATCGTTCCATCCCGTCACAAATATTGTGACATAAGACACTTTGATACCATTTTAGCAAGCTTTTCTGATGCTCATATCCATCTTGTCCATCTGTAAATAGCCTATCGCGCGAGCATGCCTTGGTATATGAAAATGTGACACTATGCGAACATATAAATAGCATTCACCGAGACCCCGGAATTCCACCGTGCATGTTGATAACGCCGAACAATAAATGACATACAAAACACGACCCACAAACAGGTCAGCGGCCCAGTGCTAGTCCAACGCAAACCCCTAGACTGGGGTGGGTGTCCGCCAGGGGTGCCCGCACCGAGCCAGTGATAGCTTCCCCATTGGTGAGACTCTGGCCCCGTGGTGGCGGCGCAGCGCAGGCGCGTTGTGAGGCTCCTACATCGTGCATCGCCGGTACCGATAAACAATCGCAATTAAAAGTTGATAACCTGCGGTGATCGATTTCCTGCGGTTGCAGCCGTTGTCTCCGCGCGGCCAATACGAAGCCCCGGATCCGGATCGTTCTTGCCCCAAGAAGCTTCAAATACAATTTACTTACAGCTGTTCATCATATTTTTTGCCAAGCCCAGACATGCAATAGTGACCCTGGAGTCAGGTTTTTGGCTTTTGGGGTGAGCTTGCCCCGTATGGGTTATACGACTCCTTGAACCTGTCGATGCTTTACCATGATACTCTCCAAATGCAGTACTCTAACTGCTGCTTCATTTCTCAACTTCGCTGGGCCATCAAAACTATCACCACTCTCGACTTTGGTCGCACATGTGTAAAGCACATTGAAGGGTAAAAACATTATATTTGCCGCCTCCTCAAGTTTCACCACTCCAATCTAATTTCGGGACATAATGTGCGGCCTCCGACCGTGTCGCGATCTTGACGTAAGATGGAATAAGGGTCACGCACTTGATGTGCGAGATGATACTAAGGCGATAGAGCTCTGCTCATGTTACTTCAGGTGATTTACAAGACAGACGTTACCTGAACTTTGAACCTCCATCATTCCATCGTAATTGACGCGTGTGACCAGGGGCGCAGCCAAAGGTGAGGGGGCTCTCCAAAGGTGAGGGGGCTCTTTTTTCACAGGAAAAAAAACTTCAGGGAGGAAGTACAAATCGGCGTGATGCGTAGTCACCGAGCTTTACCCCCCCCCCCCCCCCAACCATCGTGGCTGCGCCCCCGTGCGTGATCCATTTCGACCCAGGATGTAACAATCTCATGGGATTAATGGGCGTCTCACTATCTGGCCTAATAACTTTCACCTTTGCACAAGTTATCACCAGCTACGGATAATAATGGTGTTCATCTTTGCAACTGCACGGCAAAAGGATGTACGAAAGGATTATGGCAGTGCCCCTGAACAAACACGCTGGCAGCCGCGGCTGCTCAATCTCCTGCCGAATGGCTGAGTAAATCCCAGCTGCCCAACCCCATGTGGCGCCTTACCCCGGTCTCGCAGCACCTTCGCCTCCTCCCAGACAGTCAGACGTCCCCTCACGTCCCCGTCACCTGCTCCCACCACGCGCTGCGCGTGCAGGTACGACAGCAAACACACCAGATCACAACGCAGCCATTCGTATTCGAGCCGGGACGCGCAGGACATGGCCGACGCCGCGGTCGTTCAGTCCAATCACCCGACCGCGCCCCGGCCGACGTCACGCGCCCGCCACGTCTCGCAAGCAGTGTCGGCAGGTCAAACACTATCGACCGAGGTAAAACGGACGAGCAGGCAGGGAGGTAGAGCGAAGCGGAGGCGCGCCGTCGCTACCGCGGCGCGGGCGAGGCATGCTTACGGCAGTGCCGACTACGGCAGGCCACTGCCGCCGCCGTGCCGCCGAACTCGACAGTTGAGATTCAGACGAACAGCGGACTCTGCACATGGCCGGTCCGGTCGCTGCGATGCCCTCCTGCCCTGGGGCAGCGACAGTCGCCAGCAGCTCTTCCGCCCGTCACTAAGCCTGGTCACAGTCCATGTGCGGCCGGCTGGCTCGCCGGAGCGCGCGGCCAGGTCGGACAGGCCCGCCTGGTGCGTCTCCGACGCGTGACTGCCGCCCTACGCCTGCCTAAGACGGACCGAATTGCCAGCCTCGCGCCTGCTCACACGGCAGTGCTTACCTAAAAATGAGGCATAAAAATATCACGCACCCGCGCAGAAGCCATCGCTACTTGAGCCCGACCACGATCGTCTTTAAATAAGAGTTCAACACGAGACGAATTTGTTCGCGGTTTGTACGTTTCCGTTGCGACGGGCCTGCGGACGCACGGCTGGTCACTGCCAACTCCTGCGGGCGGCTCACAGTTCCCAGCGCCGCCGGCCCGTCTTTGATCGCGCCGCCACCGGGGTTATGTCCACCTAGTGGACGGGACACCTACCACCGCCGACTACCGGCGCCGAGCGCCACCACCCACACACAGCTCGACGTTTGGCCCAGTCACCACCGCCGCCGCGCGGGCCGCCCGGCCCACCCAGCCCCCTACCGCTCGGCCGAGCGTCGGCCTCTGCCGCCGCCGCCGCCGCCGAGCGGGCTCACAGGCGTACGGCGCCGCCTACAGCAGCTGCGCGGTGCGGTGCTGGAAGAGGAGCGCGATGACCGACTCGTCGGCCATGGTGCTCACGTCTCCCAGGTCGCGGTCGTCCTGCGCGATCTTGCGCAGCACGCGGCGCATAATCTTGCCGGAGCGCGTCTTGGGCAGGCCGGGCGCGCACTGCAGGTAGTCGGGCGCGGCGAACGCGCCAATCCGCTCGCGCACTGCGGGGTCGGGCGGGAGGTCACGGACCGGTGCGGGGGTCGCCACCAAGCCCGACCAGCCGCCGGAAGCCGAGCACTGTGCGGTTCAGCCAGCGGCCGCGGCGTGCCACACGCGCCACGTGTCCCACAACGCTGGGTCAAGGGTCACGGCATCGCTCGCCAAGCCTTAGCGTACGGGAACAGATATATCTCAGCTGTGCAACAAACGAAGCACAAGGCAGAAGCAGCCACGCTTGAAAAGTGCGACAGTCATGTGGTGTTATTTCAGTCGATGTCATCGGGTCTTTGGGGAGACCGAGCCACAGCTGCCCCCCTCCCTCCACCGCCCGTATTCCCAGTGCGCCAATCGTCGCCGCCAGCCGGCGCCTTTCTGACCTTTGAGGATCAGCTCCTTCCGCAGCTCGTCTGTCCATGGCTCGCCCTGCTTGTTGGTGATGAAGCAGTAGACGGCTTCACCCTTAATACTGTGCGGCACCGCCACCACCGCCGCTTCCGACACGCTGGGATGCTCTATCAGTGCCGACTCGATCTGGCCAAGGCAGGATGGCGTTCAGACAACAGGCACGCTGGGGTGCTGAGCCATCCGGCACGACCTCAAGACAGGGGCACACGTTCAGACATTGGGCACGTCGGGTACACACTTTGGCAAACCTTCTACACTAGAGTATACATCGTAATAGTTCACGAACTTTCCACAGACGGTGCGAACAGGCACGGTGTTTGTGGTGAAGCTGCCCGCGGCGTGCAGAGGCAGCGCGTGGCTGCACCATCCACGCTGTGGTGCACGCTGACAGCGGACGCACAATGTCCACATCAGGGGTAAGCTGCCCACATACGGTCATACCCCGCCCAACTGTCCGCGAGGAGGTATACACTCGGGTAAACTGGCCGCACAAGGCCACCTACCGATAACTGACCATACAGGGCAAACTGCCCAACGCACTACACAGTTAAAACCCATGCGCGCTGGAGGACAATCCCGGGCAACAGACGCAGTGGCCTATTCTCGCCGGAAAGAGAAACACCAGTGTGCCCCACATCGCGCACCAGATCTCGCTGAGACGACAAACACCGCACAATGCCTCCCACCAGGTGCGCCACAAACACACGCACTCGGGGCTTTGTGCGCTGACCTCGGACGCCAACGCGCGCTCGCACGTCCAGCAGCGCGCGCTCCACGCACTCCATCCGGACACCCCGCTCTCCCAGCCTGCCCCACACGTCCTGACCGCGGTCGGCCGGCCCGGCGCCGACTCCGGCTGCCTC